AATGATGATAATGATAATGATGATAATGATGATAATGATGATAATGATGATAATGATGATAATGATGATAATGATGATGATGATGATGATGATGATAATGATGATAATGATGATGATGATGATGATGATGATAATGATGATAATGATGATAATGATGGTGATGATGGTGATGATGATAATGATAACAGTGGAACCACCAACAAAAATGGTCGTCAAGACTAAACGACACCCCGCAATTTCTTCATCTCAGCCACATAACTAAAAATCCTTTGTATTGAGAGATACAGAAGAAAAGATCATGACATCCTCAATGTCGGTGTACATAAAAAAAGAAGTTAATAAGATATCATTTCATTTCTGGAGTGCACCAATATTCCGCGCGACGTCAAGTGAAAGCTATTCATAGCTTGACTTAAACGAAGATTATGAAAGATTAGCTACCCTCTTAAGCCGAACACTTCGTTCAAAACTACAGTATTAAACCAATGGACGGTACATTTAGGAATATATTGTGAAATGTTCAGTTTCTAATCGTATATATTCTCTTATCGTTGTTTGATATTGCTTGTTGAACGCTGTGTACATACAACCAACAATATTGACATGATCTTCAAAACATGTGTATTGTTTATTTTATATACAGTCAACTCTCGCTATTACGGACACCCTCGGGACCGTAATTTAGTGTCCGTAGTAGCGAGAATCCGTAATTATTATAACTGGAGTTACTTTCAGTCATTTCTTCTTCTTTTTTTTCTTTTTTTTGCCAGGGATTTATTATTTCGTGTCGTAATATCAAGGTGTCAGTAATAGCGGGGTGTCCGTAATAGCGGGGTGTCAGTAATGCGGGGGTTGACTGTATAATAATATAAAATTTACTCGGCTATATTCAAATCTCATACTTTTCTACAAGAGGTGTATAACTCGTTTAATCTCTAATATATTTAATTCAGTTAAAGCTTTTATTCCGACACTTGCTTAAGATCTTTTTTCTCCAAACAAATATTATTAGGTATACTCCTGGGGATACTTAAAACCTTTAGGAAACTTGTCTCCGAACTTACCGCTATCGAAAATTATACTTAAGTCGCCGAAAGAACCTTGAAAAATATGCACAGGAAGACATGTCCGTCTGTTTTAAAAATGTCATCGATATCTGCGTTTATTTATTGAACGTTTCAACCATTCCCAACCTTTAAAAAACTTGTCTCCAAAACTACCGCTATCGAAATTAAAATTACTGAAGTCGAAGAAAGAACGTTGAAAACTATGCTCAGGAAAACATGTCCGTCTGTTTGTACAATGTCATCGGTATCTGTGTTTATTTTTTGATCGTTTCAACCATTCCCATGAGATTTAAAAGATAAAAGACCGGCGACCATGATGGAGAAATGAACAATAGATACTAATAAGAAATCCTTTGTTGAAGTTCCTCCAAGATGGCCGCTGTGACGTATAGTGAAAACGAAGAATACTCCAATTTCGAGTTCTGGTTTGCTCTGTGTTAGCCTCAAAACCAAGTAACATATTCTTTTGTTTCATTGATGGCCCGAGAAAACTCATGGAATTTGACAAGAAAGACAATAGAATTGATTTGAAATCTCACACTTTTATTCTCACAATTAGGAAATATTTTGAGCACAAATGAGGCTAACACAGAGCATTGGAGAATTCGAAACTGGAGTATTGAATATTTGGTTGTTTTTCCTTTCTCACGGCGATACCTTTTGTGTTTGGGGCGCAATCATCAATCAAGTTGTTCTGTGAAGATATGCTGAATAAACTCCTTAAATTTGTAATTTCGTACATACGATTAGAGCCCAGGTCAAAAAAGTATGGATCAGAGATATTTTACAAAAAATTTGGATCACTAACAAAAATCAATATTGATGGCACCAATCACAATAATTAACAACAAAACTGCTGAATTTTTTTTTTATTCTTTAAGAT